CAGCAATTGAATAATCAATGACTAACTTGTGAAGAATCCACTGAGCAAGACCCAGGATCACAGAACAAGGCACAATTACAGAGTGGAAAGCATTACAGCAAACAAAAACAAAACAAACCTCAGTTAAATTAGCCTGGTCCAAAATCACTCTGCAGCTTCCATGTTATGCACTTCTCCCCAAGAGAAGGTAGACCACAAGCAAAACCCAGGCACCAGATCAAAGATGTTTTACTTATTATGAAATTGCTTTTGGTGTCAAATACATGAATTCCACTGATGGTATTAATTTTGTGGGTTACAAAATTCTATATTGTAATACCCTCAGGGATTTTGTGGTGATCAGGTTTCTGACAGCAGTTGGTTGTGATCTCCTGGAACATTCATAAGTAAATCTACTACCCAGAAATCAATTTTTCAGCAACAGAATGTTCATGAACAGTATTGGGCTGGTATTAAAACTTAACTTATGCCCAAGGTATAAGGAAAAACTATACTGGCAAGATGGGGGGATTGTCCTGTGTTAACCAAGTCAAGCTGGAGAATGGATTCATAGCCTTCTATGACAACCATGTCTTCATAGCTGGCTTTGTGTTTCATCTACCTTAAAAGAGTTTTTTTAATCCTTTAATTTTTTAGTGCTGTAATCTTTGTTCTGATTTTCTACAGATAAACAGTTCAGTTAAAGACATACTAGAGTTTTGCTTTAGATAACTGAACTGTGTCTATAACATACAACCAGGCCTTGGATCGGACCAGAGCGCGCCGGTACGTCGCTCCGGGAGAGGGGCACCCGGGGTGGTGGTGGTCACATGGCAAAGCCCCGCCCCCTTCTTCAGGCCGCCCTCTGCTTCCAGCCTCATTCTGTTGCAGAACGAGGAAGAAGCAGGAGGGTAAGTCAGCTTCCTTCCCCCCTGTCTCTGCCTGGCCGAGGCTGCTCCAGCAGCCTCCGCTAGGCCTCCAGGGCCAACCCAGACCTTCCCGGAGGTACGCGAAGCCACGCACCCCAGGAAAAATCTCCCCTCCCCGTCTCTGCCTGGCCGAGGCTGCTCTTTACTCCTGTAAAGAGTTAGCCACTCAGAACACAGAGAACTCCAGTGCTGCATCAGTTCCTCTGGTGAATTATCTAATTCCTGGTTCAACTGAAAGTGCTTTGACAGCCTTCACGGCCATGGACCTCATACTTACCAAACTGCATCTCTCAATATATTCTCCTTTGCTAGTTACATTCTCCAGACAGCATTCTTTGTAAGTTGCTCTCCACTAGGACTATCTGTACAGTGACAGATAGATCATGGTCTTCATTCCATGGTGGATCCAGTCCTTTGGAATGGCCTGTCAGAATGGGTGAAAAAGATACCTTCATTCACTACATTTAGGAATGCACAGAAGACAGTTTTATTCTGTAGAGTGTTTGGTGGAAGGTAAATTGTTTCAGCAGGTAAATTGTTGTTTGCTGGAGAAGACTCTTGAGAGTCCCCTGGACTGCAAGAAGATCAAATCAGTCAACCCTAAAAGAAATCAACCCTGACTGTTCCCTGGAAGGCCAGATACTGAAGCTGAAGCTCAAATACTTTGGCCATCAAATAAGGAGGGAGCACTCACTGGCAAAGACCCTGATGCTGGGAAAGATTGAAGGTCAAAGAAGAAGGGGACGGCAAAAGATGAGATGGTTACACAGTGTTATTGAGGCAACGAACATGAAATTAAGCAAACTCCGGAGCACGACAGAAGACAGGAGGGCCTGGCGTGATGTGGTCCATGGGGTCACGAAGAGTTGGACTCAACTGTGCGACTGAACAACAACAAATTGTTTCAGCAGGTTTGGCTGTGTTTGTTCTAATTCGGTCTTTTTAAAATTTCTGTGTATTTTACATCTTGAATCCTTCTAAATTTGTGATCTGTGTATTTTTAATCTGTGTTTTAATCTTATTAATTGGATTGTTATAATTTGCATCCCTGGTTACTGAATTTCTACCTTCCTTGAGTCCAAGGAGATAAAGTAAAATATAAATGTTTTAAATAAATATCTGTAGTTTATTAGAAAGAGAAAGCAGTTTGGAGAAAGCAACAAGAAAGACCCCAGTATCAATGAAGACACAAAAACCAGATTACCCTTTTTTGTTAATTTTCTAACACATTTCCTAGAAAGTTAATGTTTGTTAGGGTATCCATATTTATTTTTTAGATTTGTGGTACCACTGTGAAAACAGGGGTAATATACCCAAAGGAAATCATAAACAGTACATTTGCTAAAATAGATCACTCTTTGTGACAATGTCTATTTCCATAAACTGTGCAAAACTGTTTGTATACTTCCTGCTAGAAGTCAACTTCCACTCAGAGAAACTACACATTACTTAAAAGACAACTTTTATAAATCTATTCAGATTTGCCATGTTAGTCCCTTACTTATTACTCAGCATGGTGTGAACCAATAACTAAAACTAGTGCTGTTTCATAAAACTATGTAACACTGGGCACTGTAACTCTTAATTGCAAATGTTTACGACTGAGGTGTCAGTTGCCACCAGGTGAATATTATGCCCAGGTTTAGGCACTAACTTTGGGTGTTTCCAAAATGTTTAGTCTTGAATTGCCATTATTTACAATGCAGTCCTAACAGAGTTACAACTTTCTAAATGCATTGAAGTCAATGGACTTACAAGGGTGTAACTGTGCTTAGGGCTACACTGTTATTTACTCAGTTTTAACAGAGACTCCAGATGACATTATCAGCAACTCACAGAATCCCCCCTTTTTTGGCACTTGCAGAAGGTCCCATTCAGAAGAGTTAAGTTGTCATGGTGGAAAAACAAGGGAACAAAAGGAATTTGCAGGGAGAAGCAGAACCTTTGGTGAACAGGACATACTTCTGAATAAACATACAGTAAAATCTTACTCATGGGGATGGGTGCTAGATTTTTATGAGGAATATAATCTCTGTACTAGGTGCCATGCAGAACTCCAGTTTTAGTTCCATTCCCAGCAGGTTGTGGAAAAGTAATTCTTTAGCAGTACAAACACTTGTATGGACAGTTCCTTCAGGAAAGAAGTGAATGACTTAGAAACAAGCAGGATCATAATTGATTTAGAATGTTATGAAGGAATGCTGAAGACAATGGGAATCCTTATGCCAAAAGAAAACAACTGGTATTTCAGCCTTGAAAGTACCTGTGCTAGTATAGCTAGCAATGGCTGGCAACTGATTCCAAATATAAAGGTTTCTATAAAGCAGATGTATGTATCAGTTAGGGAGCTGCGGTGGCTCAAGTGGTTAAGACGCTGAACTGCAGGCTGTGGAAGGTCAGTAGTTCAGCAGTTCGAGACCTGGGTGCCGCATGATGGAGTGAGCTCCGGTCTCTAGTTCCAGCTCCTGCCAACCTAGCAGTTCAAAAGCAAGAAATTGCAAGTAGATAAATAGGTACCACTTCGGTGGGAAGGTAACAGCGTTCCGTGCGCCTTGGTGTGTAGTCATGCCGGCCACATGACCACGGAAACGTCTTCAGACAGCGCTGGCTCTTCGGCTTTGAAACGGAGATGAGCACCGCAACCCTAGTCGGATTCGACTGGCTTTCGAGCAAGGGAACCTTTACCTTTTATGTATCAGTTGGACAACATTGCCACTGAAGGCAAAGCAAGAGTTAGTAGTTTGTGAGTTACAAGAATGATTTAAACTTAAATGTTATATTAAGCATTCTAAATGTGAAAATTGCTAGAGAGTAGAACAAGTTTACAGAGGTGATTATGGATTCTCTCAGTGGAAATAATTTAAAAAATAGGTTGGGGGAAAACGTCTGCCAATAGGACTTGGCAATATGCCCACCTGGGATTCTGCCAAGATGTTGCCGAGAAATTCAGAGTTACAACCCCCATTCCTAAAGCATTTGTTCAAATGCTGTACAACTAAAGGTTTTCCCCTCCTACCACTCCGGATTTGTTCTCCTCCCTGACCAATACCCTCTCCACAGAAGACCGATTAAATGTAATACATCCACACTACCTCCTTTTAAAGCCCCATCAAGGTACAAGAGCAATGTGCTAAATATATGACTTGATTGCTTAACCCATAGCAGTCTGTATCTTTTTGGTTTATATCTAAGAGGTTTCAACTCTGTTTTCAGATTATCTGATGATTTTCAGATTTCCACAATCCAAATCTCTATTGCATTGTTTACAGGGTGTCTCATTCATGTTGATTTAAATTGTCTTGCACTGTATAATCTGCCTTGAGTCTCAATGAGAAAGGTGGCCTGTAAATGTAAATAAATAATGAAGAATGACTTTTTCCAGATTAGCATTGTTAGGTAGGATTAAGGAAGGCTGCATAGTTATAAGAGAACCGTTACATCTAACAGCAGTCCGATGCAGAGGTGTTTCCTTGTTGAAATTTTCCCTGGTGTGGTGGTAAGCAGAGGACTGTTCTTCCATTCGTTAAACAGTGATGTGCCAGGCTACTACTGATACAGACACAGGACCAGAAAGATATAGCATCCTAGCCAGGGCTAAACCACTTTTAGAGGACTATGCATCACAGCCAGACTTGTGGCAGCTGTGACTACATTTTTGAGCCCTTCCTAGAAGTAAGCCCCAATGCCTAACATAGGACTTACTTCTGAGTAGACCTGTTTGGGCTTGCTCCCCGTGGGTAGTGATGGGGACGAATGCACTCTACACATAGTTCAAAGTACACTCCTTGTTATATCTTGTCCGAGGTGTCAACCCTTGTACTTAGCACAGCCTTGAGACCAAACACGATGCCTCCTAACTCTTCTTCCTCCTCCTAATCTCCATAAAACCGAGTCGCGCGCGTTAATCTCCAAGCACAGGCGTGTTTCCCGGTGTCTTGGCCGTTTAAGCACCCACTCTAGTGCAGAAAATACGAAGCATGCCGTCTCCACCAGCCGCACACAAAAAACAAACGCCACGCGAAACCACTTTTTCTAAATTCCAAACAGCGAATGAAAGAACGGAAGTGCTTTGATGTTTGGCGGAAGCGGAAGCGCGCCTCGGACGAGTTATGGCGGCGCTGGTGAGAGTGGTGGTGAGTGGAGTGAGGGGTCGAGCTTGTGCGCGTTCGCTTCGAGCGGTTGGCCGCTGCTATTGCGGGCGGCGGGCCGGCGGCTTGGTTGTGGGTAGCCGCCCCTAAGCTTCGGCGCTATGGTCTGCTGTATTCCTGACTTAACAGAGGGCTGCCTGAGCCAGCCTCGCACCTTCGCGGCCGGGAGCGTGTGGGGTGGGAAGAGCTGGGAAGCTGATAGCTGACTAGAGCGCTTGTCGAGCAACGCCTGAGGGTACACGGGGCTGCCTGGAAAGCCTTTGCCCTTGGCCATTCGGGGCAGGCTGTGCTGACGGGGTAAAGCCCAACAGCTCCACTGATGCGTCTCATGACGTGAGCTGTGACTCGCGAAAGTTTGTGATGGAATAAGAGGTGCTCCTCTTTTATTTTGATGTTGTCGACTACCGTGGCTACTTATCTGGATTTGTCACCACAGTTTGTGTTGCCAATTCCAGAGGGGGGGTAGCTGTGTTACTAGAATCTTTTCAGAAGTCATGTTCCTGGGGCTGTGATTGTATGTGCAGAACAAAAATGCTACATGTGATCCTCCTGGTATGTGTGATTGTCCGTTTCAGAAGTAACAGCAAGGTGTGGGCTTTCTGCCTTGGTACATGTTAGGGATGCTAACCTCCAGCTTTGGGGGCTGGACTCTATGGCACTGTATCTTACGGAAGTCCCCCCAAATCTCCAGGAGTTTCCCAACCTGGAGCTGGCAACCTTATCCCACTCCCTGCCAGCGACCATGGGTGACCTGGCAACCCTACACATGTATACCGGACACCTAGGGTTGCCAGCTTCCTGGTGGGGTCCGGAGGTCTCCTGAAATGACAACTAATTTCCAGACTACAGAGGCCAGTCCTCCTGAATAAAATGGCTGCTTTGGAGAGTAAACTCTATCATTACACCTTGCTGCAATCCATTCCTTACCTAATACCTGCCCTCCCCAGGCTTCATCCCCACGTTTCTGGGAGTTTTCTGATCTGGAGTTGGTAACCCAAGGACCTAAAGAGCCTCTTGCTCAGGGTAAAAGAGGAGAGCGCAAAAGTGGGCTTGAAGCTCAACATCAAAAAAACTAAGATCATGGCATCCATCCCCATCATTCCTTGGCAAATACAAGGGGAAGTCGTGGAAGTAGTGACAGACTTCACGTTTCTGGGATCCCGGATCACCGCAGACTGTGACAGCAGCCATGAAATTAAAAGACGCCTGCTCCTTGGGAGGAAAGCGATGGCAAAACTAAACAGCATGATAAAAAGTAGAGACATCACCCTGCCAACAAAAGTCCGCATGGTCAAAGCAATGGTATTCCCAGTAGTCATGTATGGCTGTGAGAGTTGGACTATAAGGAAGGCCGAGCGGCAAAGAATAGATTCTTTTGAACTATGGTGCTGGAGAAGACTCTTGAGAGTCCCTTGGCCTGCAAGATCAAATCAGTCAATTGTAAAAGATATCAACCCTGACTGTTCCCTGGAAGGCCAGATAATGAAACTGAAGCTCAAATACTTTGGCCACCAAATGAGAAGGAAGCACTCACTGGAGAAGAAGGTCAAAGAAAACGGGGACGGCAAAGGATGAGATGGTGAGACAGTGTCATCGATGCAACGAACATGAAATTGAGCAAACTTCAGAGGACAGCGGAAGACCTGGCATGATCTGGTCCATGGGGTCGCAAAGAGTCGGACTGTGTGACTGAACAACAACAACCCAATGAAGCACCAGGTTACTCAAGGAAGTACATACTGAAGCTGGAGTATATGTATGTTACTCATTCTAGAAGAAATAATGGTTGCATGGTTAGTTGCTGTAGATTTTCCAGGGTGTATGGCCATGGTCTTGGCATTGTAGTACCTGATGTTTCACCAACAGCTGTGACTGGCATCCTCAGAGGTATAACACAGAAAGATGGAGTACTCTCTGTGTCAATAGTTGCATGTACTGGAATGACTGTGTATAGCATATTTGCCCAATATGTGAGCTCAAACAATAATGACTAAATATGGCTTCTGTTTTAGCAAAATTAAACCAGAGTCCCGTGGCACTTCAAAGACTAACATATATAAGGAACTAACAACACTCAACAGTAAATATACATACAAATATAGCTGTTAAGTTCGACTCATACTTGTGTACATTTAAAGGTACACAAGTATGAGTCAAACTTAACAACTGTATTTGTATGTATATTTACTTCCAAGACTAACTACATTCCAGCAGAGTCAGATCTCACTTCAGATACATTCCCGCAATATGTAAGTGTAGGGCTGGTGATGAAGAGGCAGGACTAGAAATGTCAGAGCTATCCCAGATGTGTGAGCTAACAGTGGCTACTGGAGTGGGTGTTTTTTGGTACACACATACATCTAATAAAGTGAGACTCATGAAAGTTTATGTTGCAGTAGATTTTGTTAGTCTTTAAAGTGCCACTGGACTCTTCTTTAATTTTACAGCTTCAGTTCTGTGTTATTTCATCAAGCCCCCCAAAAAATACAAAAGGAAGAAACCTTTGTAATCAGTCCTCTGATTCAGAGAAAGCTCTTGAAAGCATCATGCAACCTTCTCAACTCAAGAAACTAAGAAGGAAACGGTTATGTTTTATCTAATGCTAAGAGTACTTAAAATGAAATAATAAGGACCTAAGTCAAAAACTCCTGATTGGGGCGGGGGATTGGGGCTCACACACAATGATCCTTACACTTTTCAGCCTGCATTCATTTTCCCTGTATTTCCTTCAATTCTGTATTGCTTAGATTGAAAGAAGGCCATATTATGTCTGCTTATTTAAAAATTCTCCTCATAGGCGCTGAAGTCAGCAAAAGACTTGAGGGAATATGCAACCCGTCTCATTGAACCCCCTTCCACAAGGCAATTTCTTCTACACATTAAGCCATGTTACTCAGTTTATGTAATGTGTAATCACATAATTATATGATATAAGAGTGAGTAAGATGTGCTGTGACAAAAAATGCCTAGAGGCAAGGAATAATTTAGTAAAAACAGGGTCACCTGGAGCCAATTATCATTTCCTCACTTTTCAGTTATATCAGTCAGGTGCAGAATGTTCCATTTACATCTTTCCTAATACTGTAACTGATGACTGTAGGTCTTTTCACATTGGGCTCCTTGTCTTGTGTATCCTTGTAATTGGAACTTAGTCTTCATTCCCAGTGACATGAGATATTTTATTTTGGCTCAAACTTTACAGGGTTCTTACAAGTAGTGCTAATGAATCCCTAAAGGTATTTTGGGGCATATGCTGTTTTTTCTGATCTCCCCCCCCCCCCCCCCCGCCTTTCTCACTGAAACTCAAAGTGGATTCTCGGCTAATACACGGTCCTCAGTTTGGTCTCACCACAGGGACAGTCAGATGTGTGTTTTCAAGTTCCTTGCTTGGAACTCAATTCCCAGGCCTGTAGGGTCTAATTCAGATCCAGACCATGGTAACTGAGGAGAAGCAGTTTATCCTTCCATGCTGCACACCATTTTTCCACCAGGAGGCTGAAGTTGCTTCCTTATTCCCAGTTCCTTGTTGATTCCTTATTCATGACTTATTCATGAATTCAACCTAAAACACTGAGAATTTGAAACCTCTGAACCCAAAAATAAGGTCGGGAACACCATATATCATACACCCCAATGTTCAGGAACTCTCCCCTTCAAGGGGAAATATGGCACTTCCTGGTCCCTCCCCCCCCCCCCCCCCCGGTTTTACCCCTTTATTATTACTGTATCACATTTCTTACGATGCTTGTTATACTATGTCTTTGTTTTTCTTTCTTATATGTGTAACTGATCTCTCTCTCTGCTGTTTATCAAAAGAGTCAGCCCACACACATGATCAGACTGTTGCAGGATGAGCTTTATCGTCATGGGGCAGTTTGGTCATCTGTAGCATCCTGTCCAAGTAGAGTTCACCAAATCTCGGGTGCAGGTTTATGGTAGAATGTATGGTAAAATAGCTGTCTGTATGGGCTCAATATGTAGAAATATGTATCATGGAATTAGGTGGTAGCCTTTTGCATGGCACTGCAAGGGAAAAAAATGCTTAAGCTGAGGCGCAAGGTAGGCATGATTTTTTTATAAGCATTCAGACAGCAGCTGCTGGGAACTGATTTCTTGCAGGGAGCTGATTCAGGGCATGGAGGGAGAAGAAACTTCAGCTCCCTTCCCATATAGTTTCCTGTACTGAAATAGCCCCATTGGGGCTGTACACGCGCAAGATACCACATGGGAGAATACTGCACAAGAGAGTCCTTTTCCAACTTGTTTTTAAAAAATTGTGGTTAGTTTGAGCACAAGTGGACTGGTCTTTTCTGTCAAACGACCTCTTACTATATTTCTGTTTCTTCTTATGAAACAGATGTGATAGTCACAAATTGTATCAGAAACAAGCATATCCTAGTAATCTAAGGAAGTGTAACAATTAATACTTTGCCTGAGTTTATGCTTTTGTATATTCTTTTCTCCTAATAAATCTGAGATTTTTAATGCTCAGATTTTGTTATATTGTACTTCAAATATATGAAGAGTTACTATTTTCAGTGGTTCTGATGATATTAAGACTCTTCAGGTAAAGAATGCTTATATTACATAAAATTATTCAAAGATGATGTTTGAATTTTGATGGTGTTGGTCAAAACAGCACGTTTATTACTATTAGTGTGCATTTCCCTTTTATTGCTGATTAGTGGCTTTCCCTCCCCCTTAGAAGCATCGAGCTGGAGAACCTCAATGGATTACATTATGCAGTGGACTGATACAAACAACATTAGCTCAAACACAGTGGGGCAGGATGCTTCATGGCACTCTCCAGGTAAGATGCTTTTTTTGTTTAATTAGCCATTCATAGCCTGCTTTTATCACCAGCAGGGACTCAAAGTGGCTTACAACATTGTTCTCCTCTTCTCCATTTTATCATTGTGAGATAGGTTAGACTGGCAAAATGAGTAACTAGCCCATAGTCACCCAGTAGGCTTCTGTAGCAAAGTGTGGATTTGAACTTGAGTCTCCCAGTTGCTAATCTAACACTCCTAACTGCTATGTCACACTGGCTCTAAATAAATGTATTAACATCATTTATACCCCACTGTTCTTCCCACAGGGGACCCAAAGTGGCTTACGTTGTTGTCCTGTCCTCCATTTTATCCTCACAATAACCCTGTGAAGTAGGTTAAGGTATGAGACTGGCCCAAAGTCCAAAGACTGGCCCAAAGGTAGGTAAGGTATGAGACTGGCCCAAAGTCACTCAGCAAACTGTGATGACAGAGTGGGGGTTTGAACCAGGGTTTTTTCCTCAGATTCTAGTCTGACACTAACCACTACACCACACCAACTCTCTTAACCTAAAAAGTCAGCTGCCACTTGAAACACATCATGGTGTTCAAGAACATACTCTGAACTTTCCTCTGTCAGACTATTCTGATCTTTTTCAGTCTGTTCAGAGCTTTTCCTTCTCCAGATTAATTCTTACCCCCAGCTCTTCCTAGTGAAATACTCTGCTTCCCATATAGTTTCCTGTACTGAAATAGCCCCATTGGGGCTGTACACGCGCAAGATACCACATGGGAGAATACTGCACAAGAGAGTCCTTTTCCAACTTGTTTTTAAAAAATTGTGGTTAGTTTGAGCACAAGTGGACTGGTCTTTTCTGTCAAACGACCTCTTACTATATTTCTGTTTCTTCTTATGAAACAGATGTGATAGTCACAAATTGTATCAGAAACAAGCATATCCTAGTAATCTAAGGAAGTGTAACAATTAATACTTTGCCTGAGTTTATGCTTTTGTATATTCTTTTCTCCTAATAAATCTGAGATTTTTAATGCTCAGATTTTGTTATATTGTACTTCAAATATATGAAGAGTTACTATTTTCAGTGGTTCTGATGATATTAAGACTCTTCAGGTAAAGAATGCTTATATTACATAAAATTATTCAAAGATGATGTTTGAATTTTGATGGTGTTGGTCAAAACAGCACGTTTATTACTATTAGTGTGCATTTCCCTTTTATTGCTGATTAGTGGCTTTCCCTCCCCCTTAGAAGCATCGAGCTGGAGAACCTCAATGGATTACATTATGCAGTGGACTGATACAAACAACATTAGCTCAAACACAGTGGGGCAGGATGCTTCATGGCACTCTCCAGGTAAGATGCTTTTTTTGTTTAATTAGCCATTCATAGCCTGCTTTTATCACCAGCAGGGACTCAAAGTGGATTACAACATTGTTCTCCTCTTCTCCATTTTATCATTGTGAGATAGGTTAGACTGGCAAAATGAGTAACTAGCCCATAGTCACCCAGTAGGCTTCTGTAGCAAAGTGTGGATTTGAACTTGAGTCTCCCAGTTGCTAATCTAACACTCCTAACTGCTATGTCACACTGGCTCTAAATAAATGTATTAACATCATTTATACCCCACTGTTCTTCCCACAGGGGACCCAAAGTGGCTTACGTTGTTGTCCTGTCCTCCATTTTATCCTCACAATAACCCTGTGAAGTAGGTTAAGGTATGAGACTGGCCCAAAGTCCAAAGACTGGCCCAAAGGTAGGTAAGGTATGAGACTGGCCCAAAGTCACTCAGCAAACTGTGATGACAGAGTGGGGGTTTGAACCAGGGTTTTTTCCTCAGATTCTAGTCTGACACTAACCACTACACCACACCAACTCTCTTAACCTAAAAAGTCAGCTGCCACTTGAAACACATCATGGTGTTCAAGAACATACTCTGAACTTTCCTCTGTCAGACTATTCTGATCTTTTTCAGTCTGTTCAGAGCTTTTCCTTCTCCAGATTAATTCTTACCCCCAGCTCTTCCTAGTGAAATACTCTGTTAAGCATGTAACCTGCTGCCCAGACCAAAATGAGCATTTTCTCAGTGCTGACCTTTCAGTCATAGCTATTTATGCTTGTTTTGGGGAAAATACTGGAAGAAGTATATGGCAAGCCTTCCATAGTTTGTGTGTTTTCTCATTTCAGGATGCTAAACAGTTTGTGCCAGATGTAATTTGTCCCATTACAGTCTTAATACTGCTTCATGGTCGAATTGTGATATACCTTACGAAGAATGTTGTTCGTTTCGTTACAGTTACGTATTGGGTATATAACTATAGGAAAGAAAAACATTCTCTTTTTGTTTACTGCACTCCTTGGTGATCTCATGTGTGTATGGCTGCTCATCATTTCCTTAAGCACACAGGTGCCTCAAGAATACTGGACAATCAGATTTTTAAAAGAATTAGCATGGATATTTACTGTACATATGAGTTGAACTGAGCATTGTAACCACTGTTCCCTCTAAGCTGATTTAGTGTGAGCTAGCTCACTGTTTCTTAGCCTCCAGCTCACACATTTTTATCTTCGCTCAGGAGGGAGGGCTCCAGAGCAAACTAATTGATGCAGCAGCCAAATTACTTGCTCACAACTGTACTGCCAGTAGCTCACAAAGTAGAATTTTTGCTCACAGGACTTCACAGCTTAGAGGGAACATTGATTGTAACCATGTGTGCTTGTAACTGCATTGTTTGTACTGTGCTGATGCTATGTCTGTTAATTGTCTGTACATCTGTGCCTATGGGATAAGGGGATTGCTGTGTGTTTGTATGGCTTGCTTGGCATCTCATGCTTGCGTTTGGATGAGCAAGGCTTGTGCCACAGGACACGTGCTTCCCTGCACTTTCCCAGCGTGCTTCAGGACAAAGACGACAAAGCGCAATTATTGCTCAGTTTGGAAACTTGGCAGAACAACAGGTTTCCCCACCATTGCTGATCTGTGGGAAACCACGTAACCCATTCTCCTGTCTGGTTTGGCATCACAAAGAACACATCCTTGATTGCCTTCTGGACCAGGCACATCTCTGCAAGTCAAAGGTTGCCAATGGAGACAACGGTTTCACACCTGGCCACATGGCTCTCTTTGAAGTTAGGGTAGAGCATTTGAATATTGCCCCCTTCCCCTCAACTAGGACGTCACAACCCTTAACCTATAGCATAGAGAAGGGGACGGTCTTCTAGGGGTTTATTGGCCTTAAGCCAAGCCCAAAAACAAGCTTTTAAAAAGAGAAACACAGCCTTTGTTTCTCTGGTTAACCCATCCCTCCCTTACCTTGCAACTTAAGTGCTGCAGGTGATTCTTACTGTGTTCTCTGGAGTCGCGACCAGAGAACCCGCACGTGGCTTGGCCGGACCAGTCCGTGTGTTTTAGAGTCCACCGGCTGATACTTGAGCTGCCCCATTCTTTCTACTGAGGAGATTTCTTCTCACTGGAACCTCAGATAAGTATAAGCGATATCCTTCTGTGTTATCCCACTGTTTGTTGAATTTATTATTTTGCAAACTATTTGCTATTGTAACTAAGGAGCTTGTGTGAATCTGAGAGTGTATCTGTTTTCCGTATGCTTGAGAACTGCTTAGTAAAAGGCAACATTTATTCATTAAACCTAGCGTGTTGTCTCACTTCCTGGGAAATAGGAGCGTTCGTTGTCCAATCCGCCCTCTGGATACACGGGAAAATTACTCACGCCACGCCCACTGTCGTACATAAGACTGAGTTGGGCATTCGGAACCGTCCTTAGAGGAGGTCCGGTATCAGCATCAAGAGAGATTTTAAATTTGTTATTGATGTGTCTCATCCTCCAGGAGCAAAAACTATAAATATTCTGAAAAGTGGTGGCTAAGTCTTTCTACTCAACTCTTTGCTGCTGAAAGCAGATTGGGGTGGGGAAGCAGATAGGAGGATTATTTGAAAATACATGGTCTACTTCTTATATTTTTCTTATACAGGGAGGGGAGTTTGATGGTGGTAGTTTTTATTATGTATGAAGGAGTTTAGAATAACCTTATGTAGAAGGTAATAGTTTAAAATAACCTTAACACTTTCTATATGTATTTGTAACATTTCTTGCTCAACAAGGTGGTCAAGTTGAGGTCTAACAGACTAAAAACTGGATGCCCAATAAGACTGGAGGGGATGCTGGTTGAAAGACCAGAGGTCTTGGAGATACCTGCCTTCCCTCAGTGGCATGAAATTTAAACTGATAGTGCAGACAAGAGCTTGGGAAATTTGTTGTGGGGGGGTTAGATTCCACTTTATTGTTGAAAGGTGAGGGTGATGCAGTTGTGAGAAGTATGTTTTTTCAACTGCACTTTGTGTAGAAACTGGCTCCATGTTTGGACTCTGCTGAGCTTGTGGGGCTGCGTTTGAAAGTTATTTGGAGCTTTCACTTGGTACAGAATGCAACTGCTCCTTTATTAACTAGAGCTCAGAGGTATGTTCACTTCGTGCCCTTTTAAGTAATTTATATTGGTTGCCAATTTGGTTTTGGGTCAAATTCAAACACGCTTGATGTCAGTCAAAAGGTCAAGAAATGGGTCAAACTCAGTGTGCCGGTTCTTGCCTATATATCGCTGCACAGCCTGGAACTCACATATTTGAAGGTCTGCCTCTCTTGGTATAAGCCTGTGCACCAGTCTGTCTTGAGTCCCCCATTCTTGAAGCACATTCTTTCTTGGGTGTTGCACCTGTTCTTAGGAACACTCCAAGAGGAGGTCAGAAGGATTCTTACTTTGTCACTATTACAGAGCATTATAAAGTCTTCTTTGCAGGCAATTGAATTTTGAATAGAAACAATGTTTGTTCAGCTGTGTATGTGTAGCAGATACTAATCTAGGGCTGTTTAATCAGCACTTATTCAGAATAGCGGCAGCATGTAAATTTGTACCTAAAAATATGATCCTAACATTCTTTTGCACTGTTGTTTTATCAGAGACACAAGAATGGCCGATCACAACTGACCAAAGTTTGCTGTGGGTTAATACGAACCATTGGTGCAGCAGAACAGCCAAGCAGGGCATTTCATCAGACAAAAAAGGTCAGAGAAAAGTGGTGTGTGAATCACACATTTGTTTGGTCCCCATTGGGTGAGGGCTGTGTGGTGGATGGCATTTGACATTTCTAAGGTCATTAAATAGGTTTCAGGGGGGTCTTAAATACAAAGTCTTCACTTATATGTGTGGAGAACTATTAAATCCTAGAATAACCTGGAGAGTTCATGCTTGCTTAAATTAGTAAACACTAAAAAAGTTCAGGCAGATTCATGGAAGGTCATCTTTAGCTATTAGCCATAATGTTTAAGGATGAGATGGCACCTGTAGGTCACTCTTGGAATCTGAGTGCTGTGAGCCAAAAGAAGAAAACATGCCTTGCTTTTTATATTGCAATATTTGATGCTGAAAACCAGACCTTGTTGAAATGCCTTTTTTCATGAGAGGTCACTATTTTGCCACTTGCAGACTAATGTTTTAAGTACAATTTTGCTGTTCCTGAAAATTGTGTAAAACTTTCCCCCCTCTTTTGTCTGTCTGTAGTCAAAACCAGTCCAGTCCAACATACAGGCCCCTCCTTTGTGCCCTATTGTTTATTGCCTCTTGGGTAAATGTCTTAATATTCATTGGCTGTTGCACTTTCCTCCTCTTTATGGGAGCATCTGAGGCCCATACAAGCTTATCACAAAGTGCTGTTAAGTCCATATTGCACCTCCAAGTAGGCCTGGAAAACAGTGCATGAGAGGAGCCTGTCAACAGTCCATGAGTGATTGACTGTATTTTAGCGTTAAGGTGTAAGGCTAATATTTGTATGATAAGAACATAAGAGACGCCAATGTTGGATCAGGCCAAAGGCCCATCTAGTCCAACACCCTGTGTCACACAGTGGCCAGAAATACCAGGTGCCATCAGGAGGTCCACCAGTGGCGCCAGGACATTAGAAGCCCTCCCACTGTGCCCCCCCCCAAGCACCAAGAAGACAGAGCATCACTTGCCCCAGAGCCCCTATCTATACCTTGTGGCTAATAGCCACTGATGGACCTCTGCTCCATATGCTTATCTAATTCCCTTTTGAAGCCGTCCATGCTTGTAGCACCCACCACTTCCTGTGGCAGTGAATTCCAAGTGTTAATCACTCTTTGGGTGAAGAAGGACTTCCTCTTATCCGTTCTAACCCGACCGCTCAGCAATTTCATGGAGTGCCCACGAGTTCTTGTATTGTGAGAAAGGGAGAAAAGTACCTCTTTCTCTACCTGCTCTTTCCCATGCATAATCTTATAAACCTCAATCATGTCACCCCTCAGTCGTCATTTCTCCAAGCTAAAGAGCCCTAAGCGCCTTAACCTTTCCTCATAGGGAAAGTGTTCCAACCCTTTTATCATTCGAGTTGCCCTTTTCTGCACTTTTTCCAAAGCTATAATATCCTTTTTAAGGTGTGGTGACCAGAACTGCACACAGTATTCCAAATGAGGTCTCACCATTGATTTATATAGGGGCATTATGATATTGGCTGATCTGTTTTCAATACCCTTCCTAATAATCCCCAGCATAGCATTGGCCTTCTTTATTGCAGTCACACACTGTCTCGACATTTTCAGTGAGTTATCCACTACAACTCCAAGATCTCTCTCTTGATCAGTCTCTGCCAGTTCAGACCCCATCAACGTGTATTTATAGTTAGGATTTTTGGCTCCAATGTGCATCACCTTGCACTTGGCCACATTGAACCCCATTTGCCATGTTGACACCCACTTGCCCATCCTTTACAGATCCCTTTGGAGTGCCTCACTATCCTTAGTGGTTTTTACCACCCTGAACAACTTTGTATCATCCGCAAATTCAGCCACTTCACTGCTTACTCCCAACTCCAAATCATTAATGAACAAGTTAAAAAGCAGTGGACCAAGAACTGATCCCTGCAGTACCCCACTGCTTACCACCCTCCACTGAGAAAATTGCCCATTTATACTCACTCTCTGTTTTCCATTAATTAGCCATGATTTTTGAGCTTACTTAGGAGTCTTTGATGAGTTACTTTATCAAAAGCTTTCTGGAAGTCAAGGTAAACACTATCTATTGGATCCCCCTTGTCCACATGTTTGTTCACCCCCTCAAAGAACACTAACAGGTTAGTGAGACAAGATCTTCCCTTATAGAACCCATGCTGAGTCTGCCTCAGTAGGTTTTGTTCATCTATGTGCCTATTAATTCTTTCCTTAATAATGGTTTCCACCAATTTAAGGAAAGAATTAGTAGGCACATAGATGAACAAAACCTATTGAGGCAGACTCAGCATGGATTGCTTCTCAAGATTTGCTTGAAGTGGCTCCACAGCTATAACAAACCAGCCAAGATGATAAAGCAGGTCAACAATAACAAATCACAATGATGAAAACAAGTAAATAAAGCAAACAGTAAAATCAATTAAGTAAAACAGACCAGGGCATAAATCAAATGAAACAAACTGCAGTCTAAAATTATAATACAGTCCTCAGGCTAGAAGCAGACCACAATACAATAAAAGCTTGGATAAAGGTGCATGTTTTGGCCTGGCACCTAAAAGAATAATGTAGATGCCAGGAGAAGTTCAAAAGAGGAAGACATTCCAAAGTCAAGGTGCCACCACCAAAAAAGCCCTGTCTGATCACTACCCACTTTACCTCTTCAGGCAGGATTACATTAGATGATTGATAAATCAGAGTAGGTGAATGAAAAGGAGACAATGATAATTAGACTGTCTCACCCTGACCTGTAGGTAGGGTTGCCAACCTCCAGGTGGAGGTCTCTTGGGATTACAACTGATTTCCAGGTGACAGAGGTCACTTCACCTGGGGGAAATGGCTGCTTTGGAAAGGTGGACTCCATGGCATTGTACCCCATTGAAGTCCCTCCCCTCCCTAAACCCCACGCTCCACTCCCCAAATCTCTAGCTATTTCCCAGTCCAGAGTTGGCAACCGTACCTGTAGGAATTAAGATCTATCCATGAATTTGCCTAAATCATTTTTCCCAGATTGCATGCAGCGTTTGCGATTGTGTGTACCTCTGTTTACCTGATGTTGGGTTTCCTCCATTCCACTCTCTAAGAGCCATGCAGTTACCAATATGTTAATGTCATAGAGTGAACACAAATGGAAAAACTATTTTGCATGTTTTGTTTTTATTTTAGAGGCTCACTTAAAAAGGCAGCAGGTCCATGTGGCCTCCAGTCATGCCTTTTCTTGAATCTGCCAGAGCAGGGACCCAAATGGGGAGTTATTGATATAAGCTAGGCTCTTGTCTTAATTCCTGGCATAGGAGCAGACCCAAATATGTGTGTTTTATTGTGGGATGGAAGGGGCATTTTTGAAAGCCCTGCTGTGATACTGCTATGGAAAACCTGAAGGGGGTCAAACAGCCCTGTGTTTTTCCATTACTTTAATGTCAAGATTTGTAGTCAGCAGAAGTTTGCAATTACAGCAGTTGAAAGCTTAATTTACACATGATTTTTTTGGAGTGAGAAGCACACATATGCTCATCATAGAGGCACATGCATCCATGTAAGTGCACATATATGACAGATGCACATTTGTTGTCACACGTTGGTCTGGATCAGATAAAACCTTCCCCAGTTCTTTCATACGCATAGTAGGGGAATGAGGCTTTACCCTGCCCTCCAGTTGTGCCTGTCCATCTTCCAAGATCATGACTATCCACACATATGAGTAATTTTTGAATATGATACACATGCATAAAACCCAGTGTGTATTTGCCAAACCACATGGTTGATTACATGGTGCTTTCTGGGATGTGGATTAAAGTGTTCAGGCCTCCATGTGTCAGATTTCGTGTTCATTACATGCTATTCTAACACGAATGAGCATTGAAGACTCAGCCGGCAGACATGCCTAGAGGATGCTCTTGCTGTCCTTGATGTGTATAGAGAGAAAATTAGAAGTGGTCCTTGGAGGTGAATGCAGTTTTAACTACTGTAACCTATTACAAATTAATTGTATAATTTGAATCCTGTGATATCTGTAACCTATTTATTTGTTTTATTTGTTTCTTTTATAGCTTCTTGCAACCAAAGATTCAGTTCAGCCCTCTGAAGAGAAAGTGGGTGCTTTCACAAAGATAATAGAAGCAATGGGTTTCACAGGACCGCTAAAATATAACAGATGGGTAAGCACTTCTCATTAGTGACTAATGGCTTCAAAGCAGGGTGGATCACTGAAATAAATTAGTTCAGCCCTGACCTGGATAGCCCCGGCAAGCCCGATCTCATCAGATCTCGGAAGCTAAGCAGAGTCAACTCTGGCAAGTCCTTGGATGGGAGACCTCTTTGAAATACCAGAGGTGGGAGAAGAAGAAGAGAAGAGATTGGATTTACACCCTACCCTTCACTCAGAGGCTCAGAGCGGCTTACAAACTCCTTTCCCTTCCCCTCCCAACAACAGGCCCTGTGAGGTAGGTGGGGCTGAGAGAGCTCTTTTGAGAACTGCTCTTGAGAGAACAGCTCTGACAGAACTATGGCGTGCCCAAGATCATCTAGCAACTGCAAGTGGAAGAGTGGGGAATCAAACCCGGTTCTCCCAGATTAGAGTCTGCACGCTTAACCACTGCACCAAACTGGAGGCGGAGACAGGCTTTATTCAGTCACCTCTCTGAATATCCTCCAGGCCCCCAGTAGGGGTTAGTCACCGGTGATTGCCATGATTTCTGGGGCACACACAGTCAGTCACCAGAGGTTGCCATGACTTCCAGGTGCATGCGCACACACACACACATATCAAAAATACAAAAAAAGTTTTTTTTAAAGAAATAAATTAGTTCAAGCTTCTGTCTGCAAAAAGCTGTTGAATTTCTTGTAATTACTTTTGTATCGGAACAGGGTTTTCATCATGCTAATGTGCAGGCTGGACTCTCTCCACATTTTCCTGTTATTACATTTTGTTTAAATAATGTTGGTCATAAGTTGCTTCATTTCTTTTGTCGTGTGTGCATGTACTGCCGCTAAACTACACTCTACTCATGTTGATGCTCTCATAATATATAGTCATTGATTTGATTAGCTTCTTGATCTTATAATTGCAAATTATAATTTGTTGAAATCTTGGTGGGACAGGGGGAAAGAGACGATGCTGTAACTATTACTGTTCTCCACTTGTCAGGGTGCTTCCACTGATAAGCACTTCATGTGGACTTTCCCATCCACATTTGGTTTGAACCTCTGTCCAGAACCCCATGAAATCTTGGTCAGACTTTCTTGGATCAGCTCCATTTCATCTATATATAGATATTAAATTGTATTGAGTATATGAAAACACCAGGTTGAAAAGCTTAGATGTATCAGATGGGTTGGATAAGAACACCTTGGGACTCTGTGACAAAGTAAATGTTTGTATTGCAGAAGAATATCTCTGTAGACGTACATTACAAACACTAGCATTTAAAAGTTAATGTAGACTTGATCTACAGGCTGGAAATAACTCCATTTTTTAACAACCTATTTCAGTCACTGTTTAAAACCTATGCCTTTTTTCTAATCCCTTGATATATTAAGCTTGTGACTTTGGTATACAGTCACTTTGCCTATATGGCAACAGGTTGCAAAAACAAAGCTCTAAATGAAATATTTTTACAGTTGTCACTACACCAGCATGGTATAGTGGTTAAGAATAACGATCTCTAATCTGAAAAACAGGGTTTGATTTTCCGCTTCTCTGCATGAAGCCTGCTAGGTGAGTGACCTTGGGCCAGTCACAGTTTTCTCAAAACTCACAAGGTGCCTGTTGTGGGGAAAGGAAGGGAATGTGATTGTAAGCTGCTTTGAGACTCCTCAAGGTAGAGAAAATCAGTGTATAAAAACCTACTCTTCTTCTTGTAATCTCTGTCTTGTAACTACAGAGAATATATTGCAGTTATGTGAAGCTGTTCAGGTTCAAATGAAGTGTATTCAGTCTGTACAATTTTTGCTTTGAAAGACATAAGGGCACAACATTATTTAAAATGCACAAATTCGTTAGACCCCTATTTCATGCCATTCACTTGAAATTTCTGGAAATTATATCACCAGATAAAGAATGGCATCTGCATGCATGGCAACAATCAGAAACTATTCGAAAGCAGTTTGAAGTTGAATTTGAAATGTTGGCATGTACTTGAAGAAATAAGTTCATTCTATAGTGACAGAAAATAGTTTTAAAGTGCTAAAATGGCAATATCTATTCTTTGTTTAAAAGAAGATTCTAGGAGAAGCAGACAGCAGCTTGACCAGTTCACTTGTCATTGTTTGCAGCTGCACTTGGGACTTGCTCAACCTACAGTGGTTTGAGATTTGAGATCATAATATTGAGCAAATAATTTATCTTTCCTTAGATGTGTAGCTGTAAAACATTTACCAGTTATTTATGTATGTTGGTTGCGTTAGCTGACAAATTCTGTAAAACGTGAATTCAGCATTTAAGATTTTAAAGTGATTTTATACTCCTGAATTATGATTAACAAGAGACATACCTCACAAAGAGTCATTCCATCAGCCCGTGATGAACATTTTCTGCCTCAGCAAACATCATTCTGCCATACAATTCTTGCATTATCCACACTTAAAAATGCACTCGATTTTTTATTTTTTCACTTATAGCTCACCTTTCTTGCTGATTCTCAAAGCAGATTACAAAAATTAAAAACTATGTAATTAAAGGATATAAGGCATACAACAGAGAGTGCAATCAACCTGGATTACAAAAATTAGAAAGTAATGTAATAAAAGATAATTTATACAATAAACATTGCAATAAGAACTGACTACATTTTCCCCCACAGACATTAAAACTGCAGCACTGTTGTGTTTATAAAAATGGTCTCCTGGACAATATCATGAGGCCAACTGGAATAAGTGAGATCTACTTCTGAGGGAACATGAGTAGAGTGGAGCTACATATCACTTAAATATGTCTCCCGCTGTTTAGATATGTACAATAAAAGCTGTGCTTTCTGACTTCTGAGGGACAGTGGGTGGATGAGTTCATTATTTGTGAGTTTCTCAGAGCACCCTTTCTCCAAACAGGAGCTGTATTGAGTGATTTTTGTATTATTTTGAAAAGCCAAGGCAAAGCTTTCCTTTTTGTCCCCTCTTGCTTTTTACATCCTGTGCTTGCATGACAACATCTACAGTAGAATGTAAAATGGATTTGTAAATTAGGAGTGGTGAATTGCATCTCAGAGGATGGGAACAAAACATCCAAATCCATAATATTCAAAAGATCAAGCATGTATTCATACGATAATCATTCATACGATAATCATTCATTCAGCCAAGTTCCTGAATACATGAATCAAATACTCCTCCTCACATACCTAGGACTGTGTGTTGTCTGCTATGCATTTAATGTTCCCACACTGGAAATGAATGAGATGAATGTGTAGTTTTTCTGAAATAGATTTTTTTCATTTCCATTTATATCGCTTTTGGGGGCACTTTTGATTCTTTTTGCTCACTGCTGCTTTACCCTGCATATTACCAAAACTGGAATGGAAGAATACCATCAGAGAGTTGCCTGCTTCTTCTTTTGCTTTGCGTAGTCTTGCAGAGGTTTGAACAATACTTTTCCTTAGGGAGGTTCACTAAAAGCAGTTAGAAAACTGATTTCGTGAATCAGTGCACATTACCTGAGAAACTGGCTTGAACTTCTTGGAAAGAAGGTGGAAGTGGAATTAGAGTATCTAAAGAGGCATGAATAACATAATATTTACTGCCCAGGAAATTGTTAGAACAAATAATAAACCTGCTAGTTGTTATTTCCTGGAGCAAAAGGGGATTATGGCCAGTAGCCAGAGCAGGTTTGAGAATATATTTTGCCAGTTCTGCTAAATATCTTCCCTAACAGGCTGTTTAGCTAAGCAAATAAACAGAATCCAATGAACATAATATTCTTCTTGATAATTTGTCAAAAGTTATTTTACACTGTTGATTAATTCCATGTTATTGTCTCATTTGAAAGACATAATAATGTTGGGTAATTATGGCAAACCATTGAGTTGTTTAAAATTCTATATAATTGGAAGCCTTGGATCCTAAACATGAAGAATCTTACAGTGCTTTCCTAGGCAGAGTTACCTCTTTTGGTGTTTGTTGATTTAGAAGGGCATAAATCTGTTTAGGATTCTGCTGTTAGTGGAAGAGAGTCTTTGAATCCAGTCTAATGCCTACACAGATTAACTGCATTCAGAAGTATAGCTAACTAATGAAAAGATGGGTTACTTGCTAGGTCAGGGTGTCAAACATAAGGCCAGGGGGCCAGAACCAGCCCATCTAGGGCTCTTATGTGGCCAGTGAGCAACTGGCGGAAGGGAGGGAATGCTGGGGGAGTAGGCGGAGCCACTCCATTGTGACTTCAGCAGGGCAGAACAACCTCATCTGCAGCAGTCAAGCATCGTGGGAGCATCTGCCCAGTGCTGCACTGCTGCCTCTCCAGTCCGCCTATGTGGGTTTTCCTCTGCACCTCCCCCCCCCAACCCATGGGACCTTGCAATGAGGATATACTAACCTGGAGCTTACCGGCTGCTGCCATTTATATACTTTCTGTTTCCGCTGCCTGGCATTACGTTTATGGCACACATGGCCTAGTCCAATAAAGTGACATCTATGTCAGCTCCGGTCTTCATAACAAATGAGTTTGACATCTCTGTGCTAGATTATTAGAATAGTCTGTCAGCAGTGTGACAGTGTCTCTTGCCTAAGCTAAATACTTTAATATTGTGGTGCATTTTGAGTAATAGAGAATGCGTAATATATATTATGTGTAAATCACCGGTGGATTTCAAAAGACACATCAGGCTGATCTGCATCACTGCTTTTACAAATGCTTTTGAGATGACTGTTGTTTTGTAAGAGATCAGTGCATCCCTGACACGTATAATTTTGATTACCAAAAAGTTTAGCATGTTTGCATGATTAATGAAAACACAGTAACATTATACATGTGTGATAAGTATTAATGGTAATTATTATTTTTCTCTAGAAAATTAAAATAGCAGCACTGCGCATGTACACATGCTGTGTGGAGAAAACAGATTATGAGGAGTTCTTTAACTGTAAGTTTTTCTATCTGGCTTCACCTGTTCTTCTCTTTGAGATTATGATTGAGCAAGCGTAATCAAACCTTGCTGTTGTCTTCCTAAGCATGTATACTTAAACCCAGTCTACAAAATTTGACCATTCGTTCTATCTCCTAAAAGGAATGGTGAAATTGAAACAAAATTACATAACCATTACATTGTTTTTTGAAAAGAAGAATAAACAGGTCATTCCTGTCTCATCAGTATTTTAAAAAAAACAAAATACCAATGAATATGAAAAACTTAAAGTTTTGTTGTTTAAAAATAACCCAGGCATTGTTTTTGCTGTTGTTGTTGCCGTTCTTGTATGCTCAATTTATTTTCCAACCATTCTATGTTATGTGAAGCGTTCAAGCACATAATGGATCTTTAATGCTATGATTACAAGAGTAGTTAATATAACTCTGCAATTAGCAACAAGTTAAATTGTTTGGTGGTTAATAAATAAGAAGATGACCAGAAATCTTTAATAGCAGGTGTATGACAAGAGGTTTAGGTGGATGGCCTGTAGCCGTGTCTTCTTGTTGCTAGTATTGCCAAGCAGTGGCTCAATCCCACCAATCTCTCTAGGAGAAGTTTTGATCATGAAAATTTGATTGTATGAAATCCACTATTGTTCCCATACACATTTGTGCAGTAGAACTTTTGATACTGTTATTGTAAGGTGCTAAAGGTATAGGTGGTCAATATTTTTCATTTCAGTTATATATATTAAGAGCAAATTTTACTGTTTGTATGCTGAATGTCAGAATCTTTCAGGGTAGAGAAGGAAGCAGATGCTAAACTTCAGAGTCTCAAGGATGCTTATTGTGGCAACATATAACACAAAATGTAGACAGCTGTGTTGGCCTAGTGGGGGGAGGCAACAGAGCAAAAAAGCAGAATATCTGTAATAGCATGTTTTTTTTTAATTTGAAGGGGTTTGGTTTATTGATATTTCTACAACTGTTAAAGCATGTTTATATTTGATTTCGTGCTTGCTGTATTTTTAAAACATTGATTTCTATTCAAGTCAGTTGTTTGGGCACTACCTAAACTGCTTACTGTGCAGTTCTAATTGCTGCTTTTGCTACTGTAGTGGAAGAGGTGGCTTGTATTAGAACAGCTAAAGTGGCTTCTGTTCAGACAAATGGGTCTGAACTGCAAACATTTCTTGCTGGTGTTCAGCTGCCCCAGTGCTAGAGGCTGGAGGGCTACTTTGGTGTTGGGAATCCCCATTAAAAGTAGCATCTACAGACCATTTATGTTATTCTACTAAGAACACAGTAAATTTATTCTCTCTCTCAAAATCTGAAAGACAAATGCCATTTATTTTCAGGCTTTTGGTTCTCCTTTAGTTAGCTGTCTTGGCCTAGTACTTAATATTCAGTATTTTGCTTGTATATGGGAACATTTCAGCTCCTTCCTCCAGCAACAGCTGTCCTTATCCCCTGAAAAAATCCTCCCAAGGTCAGTAGGACCTTCAAGAGTGCCAGGGGCTGCCCCAGAAGTACATATCGCACCTTCCCCTCTGTATGTGTACAAACTCTTTCAGCTTATTTACTAGGAGTGGGTGTGGGGAGGGATTGGATGCACACCATTTAATTTGCATTTTTTAAAAAGTGAAGAAAGTAATGGAAAAAAATCTTACAATTTTTTTAAAGCATTTCAGATGCCTGACACATTGAATTCATGGTTTTTAGTAGCACAGCTTCATGTCTGGTAAGTGAAAAAGTACTTAAAATCTGTATTTTCTGCATGTTGCAGGGTTTATATACCTTTGAAATCTGTATCTGCTGCATGTTGCACTCTGCCCTTATAAAAGAGGAGACTGTCCCTGATGGTGACAAAAATACTAGATTTAATAATGCTACCTTGTGACCAGCTTTCTTAAAAAAACAAAGGTCATAAAAGCCTAATTTTTGTAGTGGTTTTTTAAAGCTTAGTAGTGGAAAAGCTACTGCTAGGAGTATCTTTTAAAAGCTTCATTCAGCCTGGATGGAAAGGTCTCTTATTTAGCTGTTTTAGGAAAAGCTCACATTTACGTAAAAGTGGTTTGAATTGTGAGAACTTGTGGTGACTTTACTTGCTAGTTGTCAGAAGCCTTTAACAAATTATATCATTGACATTTACATTTGCACCTCTAAAATGTACCTACAGATTAAGCGAATGCCAGATTGGTTGCATGTAAAATATTTAACACCTCAGAAAGTGAGTTTTCCTTTCATTTATTAAATAACTAGCCAAGAAAAATAATTAGGCAAAATCTACTTTTCATCTGAAGTTACCTGTTTGAAAAGGTCAACGTGATATAAAAGTGATGCAGAAGGAAGTAGATTATTTTTCCAGTTGCCTCTCTGGAAGCTAAATAGTATTAAATTTAAACCTATCAATGTAGCTTCTATAGATGCTTGAGATGAAAGTTATCTCTGAGTAATCACTGGATCCAGTTGATATTTTTTCCTGTATTTTACAGCCTTCCCACTTTATTTAAAAGTTCTGACATGTAATGTGAACTTCATTTTGGTGGTGCATCTCGTTAGCTTACAGGAGAAAATTTATTCAGAAGTCATCTGAAAAATGAACTCTGCTGTATGCATTACTGCATGGGGCAAAAATTGCTGTAAGCACTTTAGTTGAAAAGATTCTTGCTTTTATCAGTTTACTGTCCATTCCTGTATAAGTTTACTAAGGAGTATATCCCACTGGGTACAATGGGGTTTGATCCCTGGTATGCATTCATGGGATTGCACCGTTGCTTTCATCTTCTTTCGCATCTTCTGAAAGATGCTAGGGCTGTTGACCATTGAAAGAATTTCCCACAGAATCATATGTTAAAACCAGTGATTTGTTGATTAAATTCTGTCCCCACTATTTACTAAACTAAAATCTGTAACTGACTCTTTTAGAAAAAGGCAGGCTGCAGTAATGCTAATCTTCATTACAGATACCCCCCCCCCGCCCCTCCACTCAGTGAACTGATTGCTTCCTCTGTCTTAGAACTTCTTTTCAGGCACTTCGCTGAATGATGAACCTTAATAGCTGCTGTTAAGACTAGCAGGATTGCTCTCAGCTAGTCCTGCAGGTAGTCATCGCAGCAGCAGAAGGCAGCAAAACTAATTGCTGTAGTTGTATCTTTCAGAAATCTTGAATGCCTTCCAAATAACTCTGGCATCCCTTCAGCTAATTATACACTTCAAAGAGACTTTACTTTAGTAATTCTAGCAATTACTTCTGTGTTCTCTTCATTTCCGCTCTAGCTCTGCCTTTGGCCTAAAGCTGAAGAACACCGACTAGAGGGTACCTCAGTGCTTCATCAGTGTTGTAGTGCAACTCTCAGACATTTACCTCTTCCACAAATGCAAAGGAATGGACAATTGTGGTAGTTCATTGGAGAGTTCTAATTTTGCTGCTAAAAAGGCCAAGGCAGTATTATTTGACCCAGCACTGTAACCATAATAGTTTGGATCAAGAGCAACATCTCCATAGGTGCAAGGATTTCTGCCCACAGAACCTGATTTTCCTGCCTCCCACCTCATGTGGCAGCCTGAAACGGCCCCCCAAATACTATTCCTGTTTGGACTACAGGATAAGGATGGTGGGACAATTCCTTGTGCCCATGGGAATGTTAGCCTGGATCCAAACCGTAATCTTGAAAATTTTGTGGAGTAGCTGAGTAGGTTTCTGCTTCAGTGGGCAAATGTGACTTGTTCATTTTAGATGCAGACTTTGCATTCTGAGCTTTAATTTGATCTAGTCTGACTCCAGTTTTTGAGGGCTTCACAATTGGTGAGAGTTTGATGGAAAACTGTATGAATTTTTTGTCCATTAAGTCTGATCTGGCAAATGCCAAGTAGGTCTATGTGCATCCTTGTCCTGCATGCTCATGACCCCTCCCACAGGCACCTGAATGCCCATTCCTCAGTGACACTGGGAGGTGTGTGCAGCTGGGAGTACTGCTGCTGGAACCAATGCTCCCTCAAAGTTTGAGAGTCCTGTGAGCAAAAATTCTACTTTGTGAGCTACTGGCATTACATCTGTGAGTGAGCAATCTGGCTACTGCATATAAATTAGTTTGCTCCTGGAGCCATCCTTCCTGAGCTAAGACAGAAATGTGCAGGCTGTAAAACTGTGAGCTAGCTCACACTAATTCAGCTTAGAGGGAACACTGGCTGGGACCATCTTCCAGTGCAGTGCTGGTCAACCCAGCTAGCTAGGAGTGCAGGAGGTGAAGTGCATGCAAGTAAGCAAAGGAGGGAAGGGCATGCAAGCACATGGCAGAGGAGGTGTGTGAGCGGGGACCAGTGACAATGGGCCCTGCCAGCAGTCCTGAGCCTGGCAGATGCCACGCTTCAGGCTGTGCTGATGCCAGCTCTGTAAGTAAGGGAAGTTATTTAATCAGTGATTAGACCTCAATACTTTCTTTCGGTGGAAGTCTCTGATAATGTTTATTTATTACATTTTCCTAGTTCTCAGTATATTGGACACTAGTGATAAATTTAAACAAATAAGTCCAGACCTAAACTCCCTGTCGACTTTGGAAGTGTGTGCAATTTAAATGATATATGTTTGTCCTCCCTTACCCCCCTCATTGTTAGTCCTGTGTCAAAAGAATAACTGTACATCGCTCAGAGCCGGCAGCTCTGCAAGGATTGAGCGATTAATAAAGTGAAAGATGATGATGATGATGATGATGATTATTATTATTATTAGCTGCCAGTTGAAATATGAGGTGCAAAGTAAAGGAGGGCAGAAATGGGATGTTAATGCAATATAATTTGGAAGCACTATGCCTTTATTTGTTGTTGTTCAGTCGCACAGTCGAGTCCGACTCTTCGCGACCCCATGGACCAGATCACGCCAGGCCTTCCGGTCTTCTGCCGTCCTCTGAAGTTTGCTTAATTTCATGTTCGTTGCATCTATGACACTGTCTAACCATCTCATCCTTTGCCGTCCCCGTCTTCTTTGACCTTCAAAGGCAAATGGAGAGGAAACTACTAGTTTTACAAGAGAGAAAACGGGAATAAGAAATGAAACAGTAGAATAAGAAATTATATGGAAACAGTTGCATGGTCTAGAGAAAACGAAGTGTGGGACCAGACTAGAGTATGAAGAGATCTGGCAGTGGGAGGAGGAGGAGTTGTTGGTTGTATAGCCTGCTCTTCACTACTGGAACCAGTCTCAGAGCGGCTTACAATCTCCTTCCCTTCCTCTTCCCACAACAGACACCCTGTGATGTAGGTGGAGCTGAGAGAGCTCTGAGAGAACTGTGACGGACCCAAGGTCACACAACTGACTGCATGTGGAGGAGTGGGGAATCAAACCCAGTTCTGCAGATTAGAGTCTGCCTCTTAACCACTACATCAAGCTTATATAGGAGAGGAAAAGCCCTGTGAAATGGAAATAGGCAACCAGCTAATAAAAGACGGAGCTCTCGGAATTCCAGGAATAGAACCAGTTCCCTAATGCCATGATGGATAATTCAGCACAGCCTTGGCTCTCCTTTGCACATTCCCAGAGTAAACAGTGCCATTGCCACAGAAGTGGCAGCAGTCCATCTATGCAGGCATGCAGTTGAATCCCAGAATTTAAGAAGGCAGAAGAGTGAATGCTTCCGCACTACCTGGATTGCATGCAGCAACCCCATTCTTGTGCTTGCATAGACACCTGCCAGAATACTGTACTGTCTCTCTGTTAACCATAAGATGATGGTTAAAAAGTGTATAGAGTCTTTAAATAATTTAGTCAACTGCTACGTGTATTTTATAACAGGAAATTTAACAGGAAAAGGTTCCATAGAGAATACTCTAAATTCCATAGATTTAAAGGACTGTAGTATATTACACCTGAAAAATGTATTAAAAATGCATTGATATATGCAGAGAATCCACTGGGGAGAGAATACTTTTTAAAAGGGAATTTTAAAATGCTCGGTTTTGAAATAAAGTTGAAGGAGGGAAGTTGTAATTACTAAATGAAAAAAGCTATAATTTGCAAAAGATGGTGTGATATTAAAATTACCTTGGTTAAGAGGGTAAGGCAGCAATAAAAATATAGCTATAAAACAGCCCTTTAAAGTAGAAAAGAAATATTTAATGTCAAATTATTGATATTAGCAGGGAACTCATGATTGATTGGCATATAAAAATATGTTTTATCTGCATCAGAAAGCAATCCCTGCAGTAAACTGAATGGTAAAAATTATTAATGATGGCAAGCAGACAAGTTGCATGAATATTTCTGTTGTGAATTTGGAAAAGATACTTGTGTATAACATCAATAATGAAGTAAATAGAAGAAACCTGCTGCGGAAATGGTTACTAAGATGCTATTAAAATAGCCCTTTTCTTTTTAAAAAATCAGATCTCTAAACTACTTTATAGTCATAGATAGTTTCATAGCTGAATAGAATATATTACAAAGCAGGGCCTTATGGTAAACAATAAAAGATTTTGCAGCTGTGTTGATCTAATTAGAAAGCTTATAGTCTAAGAAAATCTATGTCATTTTAACCTCAAATGGCAGTTCTTGTAACAAGGTACCTTTAAAAAAAATAAACTTCAGAATTCCATGACCTCACTCAGGGTGCTGCTGAACTGCTCTGTGACAGCACTTATACATACAAATACACAGTGTCCTTTCAGGCACTGGACTAAGTATAATATGAAAAATACTTGACTTTCACTCCATCATTGATTGCTTATGGTCCTTGATGCTTTTTG